TGCTCTGCTTCACCCCTATGGGGACCATGTGGAAGAAATGCATTTCTCCTCTTCCCTCTTACCTCTGAGCCCACCATGATCACCTTGGTGAACCACCCCTGCCCTGGCCTCATTAGCACCAGGCAAAGGTGGGAGGTGAATCTCAGCCAGGTGGACAACAGGCCAGCTTGTCTGATTCTGCAGCTCAACACAAGACCATCTCCTCATTCCCTGACCTGCTTCCTGGGACAGACTCCCACTTCCTATGGTCCTTATGTTAAGGGACAGACAGATGAGGATGACGGGAACATGAAGTCAGGAGAATAATTCTATCCAATGGGCCCACTGTGCTGACCCCCACATGCTTTCTTTTCCAAGAAGCAATTTACCTGCAGCCCTGTCTGGCCTAAATGGACAGGATATGTCACATTCCTCAGCACACTACCTGTTCACTGCAGGAGAAATGCAGGCCCAAAGGAATGTTGATAAGAGGAACCCAAGTTACCCTGAAGGAGGAGACTTGTGACCAGACCTGAAACTCTGAAAGATAAGGATATTTCCTCTTAACCATAAAATCTGTAAGCACTTATGGTTAAGAATCCAATTAGATGGGGCTGGGGATGTGGCTCAAGCGGTAGCGCGCTCGCCTGGCATGCGTGCGACCCGGGTTCGATCCTCAGCACCACATACAAACAAAGATGTTGTGTCCGCCGATGATAACTAAAAAATAAATATTAAAACTCTCTCTCTCTCTCTCTCTCTCTCTCTTTAAAAAAAAAAGCGAGATTAAAAAAAAAAAAAAGAATCCAATTAGAACTGGTCAGCAGGGGCTGAGGTGACCTAGATTTACCATGACAGTTGGGACTTGAAAGTCTGATGTCACCTTGCTGTCAGTCAAGTCAAGAGGTAGACCTGGGCAGAACTGTCCAAAAACTTCTCTGGGATCCCCCATAAAACTGGAGTGTAGGAGAGGCATATTGTCCCTCTTCTCCCTGAGAAGACTCATTCTCCCTTGAGAGTGTCCCTTTTCCCTTTCCCTATCCCTTCAATAAACTCATTCCTCTTACTCTGAGTGACATGTCTGAAATCTTTCTGACTTGGTTGCAAGAACCAGAGTTTGAAGAGGGGGGTTTTCACGCTGCCTCATTTTCTCCAAAAGCCCCAGCTCCGTAACAGTTAGGCTGGCTCTACCACATAGAGATACAATGGAATGGTCCCTGGCTCTGAGGCCAAGAGTAGGGGAGGGAATGAGACCAGTGATCAGTAAGAACAGTTAGCATTGGAAGGAATTGATCTTCAGTGAGGAATTAATGGAGCAAAACCTGCTGGGCCTGCTCAGCTGTGGCTAAGCAGAGACTTCATTGACTCCATTGTGGCCTGAGGTGAGGGGCAGCCAGGCATGGAGAGAAGACAGAGGAGGCCTAAAGAAAAAAACAGGAAGCAGGAAGAGCCAGGAGACAGAACAGGGAAGGCCACGGGCTCTTGACCCAGATTCAGTTCCCCAGAGGGTACCTGGTTGACCAGCTTGGTAAGTGGAGCCCCAGGGGTTAGAAATAGCCAAAGGGGCAGTCCTGGCCCTTGTTCCAACCCAAAGAAGCCAGTGCTCTTTCCCTTCTAGAAAACCAACAGCTAATGAGGTTTTTCTGTTTGTTTTATTTTTGTAAGTGGTACTGGAAATTGAACCCAGGGGCACTCTACCACTGAGCTACATCTCCAGCCCTTTTTATTTTATTTTTTTAAATATTAGGACCTTTATTTATTTATATGTGGTGCTGAGATTCAAACCCGGTGCCTTACACATGCTAGGCAAGCACTCTACCCCAGCCCCTCCAGCCCCTTTTTAAAGACAGGGTCTCGCTAAGTTGTCCAGGCTGGTCTCAAATTTGCAATCCTCCTGCCTCAGTCTCCTAAATCGCTGGAATTACAGGCATGTGCCACAGTACCCCACTGTGTTTTTTTTTTTTTTTAAAGAGAGAGTGCGAGAGATAGAGGTAGAGAGAGAGAATTTTTTAATATTTATTTTTTAGTATTTGGCAGACACAACATCTTTGTTTGTATGTGGTGCTGAGGATCGAACCCGGGCCGCACGCACACCAGGCGAGCGCGCTACCACTTGAGCCACATCCCCAGCCCCCCCACTGTGTTTTTAAAAAATATTTATTTTTTGGTTGTAGTTGGACACAATGCCTTTATTTCACTTATTTATTTTTATGTGGTGCTGAGGATTGACCCCAGGGTCCTGCACATGCCAGGCAAGCGCTCTACCACTGAGCCACAACCCCAGCCCCCACATTGTGTTTTTAAATAAATTTTATTTTTACAATTTTATATTTACAGAAAAATTGTGAAGATAATCTAGCATTCCCATAGTCCCCTCATCCCATTTCCCCTATTATTGACATCTCAAATTAGTATGATTTCTTTGCTATATTTGATGAGCCAGGGTGTCCTGCCTCAGCACCCTAAGGGGAGGCTGGGTGGAGAGGGCACTGCAGCTCCAGTGGAAGCAGGAGAAAAGCTCCAAGGCTCCAGTGAGTTGTGGGGTGCAGGTGCCATCAGAGGCTGGGGAGGTTGGCAGGGAGCAGGGACCAGTTCCCAGCAATCCTGCAGACCAGATCCCCTTTCCTGCCACAGCGGCTCCCTCCAGGTCACAGGCCTGGACCTCGGGAGCTCCCCCTCTGTATCCACCCCATGTGCCACTCTCACCCCAGTTGGCCTCCTCCCCTATTCTTGCCAGGCCTCTGCAGCTGCTAGGAGGCAGTCCTGGTCCATCAGTCCTGCCTGCCCTTTCCAGGCTCTCTTGCATTTCCTGGTGCAGGTCGCCCCCTGTCAGCAGGCTGGTGGACCTGCAGCTTGGAATGCAATCTCCCAGGAACTACAATTGGGTTCCCAGGGGGGAGAGTCCACTCCTGGGTACCCTCAGCACTGGAGCAGGATTTCTCTTTGTTTCTGTCCAGCTTCCCCTTGGCCATGGCTTCCCGGCCTCCCCTCATTGATTATCTGCAGGCCTCTTTACATCTCCCTCTGCAGACAGCTGCCTGCCGCTTCCCAGGGTAAATCCCCTGGAGTGAATAGCCACAAAGATTTCTGGCATCTCACAAACCTATGTGTGTCCTTGTTGTCCCCTAGGTCTATCTGAGGATGGAACAGCTGTCAAGGACCTGAGGAGCATGCCCTGGCATGGCCATCCTTCTTTGCGCTCCTGTGGTACCTTTCCCAATGTCCTGGCTCCTTCCTCCCAATGCTATAAGAACAGATGTTTATTCTTCCGTAGGGAGGCAGGAGAGGCTCAGAGGTTAAACACCTTGACCCAAGTCCTATGGATGGTCAGTTCACCCTGTTATACACTTTCATGATCCTTTATACCATGCCTCCAAGGCCTTAGAACATTTGCAATTTTCTATTTTCTTTGTGTGATTATTGGGATTCTGTTCCTCCATCCAGACCGTAAATTCTGTAAGAACAGGGACTTAGGACTGCTTTGCACCCCCCTGTAACCCCAGTGCCCTACTCTACTGCCTGATACATATTAATTGCTCGATAAATTTTGTTAAATTATTGAGTAATTGCATAAGGTATAGAAAGAATGTTCATTCATTCAAGAGTAGCTTGAGTAGCAGGCCCTTTGATGGGTCCTAGGGTTAAAAGACAAATAAGGTAGAGTCCCCTCCCTTGAAGAAGTCAGTCTTGTGGGGAATATAACATGGAAAATTCCTGAAGGAGCAACGTCCCAAATACCATGAGAGAACAGAGGCAATAAACCCTTTTGGCAGGGTGAGGTTGCTTTGGGGAGAAAGAGACTGAATGAGAAGTGGCAGTTTGTTTCTAGAGGGTTGGGGTGGGCAGGTTAGGTAAGGGCATTCCTAGGCCCCGATGCTCAGGGAAAACCTGGACACAGCCCAAGGCAGGCAGGACTTGAAGTCTTGTCCCTTTATCACCCAGCTGCCAGAGTTCCCACAGTTGCCCCCTCAGGCTCCAAGTTGGGGAGTACCACACGTGGGTCCCATTTGGGGTACAAGGACTGCCCGCCTCCTGTCATTCTCTTTTGTGGGTGGGTTGCCAGAAACCTCTACTGCAAGGAAGTTCCACATCTGAGCCAATTTGAAACAATCTTATGAGATTTTTTTTTTTTTTTGAGCCCAAAGCTCAAATACAGCCTCTCCAGTCTGCTCAGAGCTCTCTCTCTCCTCTTGTAATTCCATCCAACACACCATCAAGTTGGCAGGTCACAGCTGTCTGCAGGCAATTTCTTGCTGGCCCTTCTTGTGTGGGTTTTTCTTTTACTCTCCTTCTCTTTGACAGGGATTTAGCATAATCTGTCTGACTTTCAGTTCCAGATCCACTTACCTTTTTTGTTTGTTGTTATTTAGGTGGAAGGTAAGATCTGCGAATGCACAGGTATATGATAAAAAGAAAGAAGTCTGCATTCTTGGGGGCCCAGGTGGACTGTAGTCTTCACTAGTGGTGCAAAGGAAATAGGGTTAATTCCAAGTAAGTAGCAGAGAAAAAGGTTAAATGGAATCTACTTTGTGGGGAGTCGCTGATAGGTAATACCTTAGGGGCTCCATGACTGGGATATTTAAGTTGGGCCTGCCTGGAGGAGGGTTCCATATCACAGTGATAAATGTCACTGAAGGGTTGTATCAGCTCAACCAAGAGAAGCAGGCCACTTGCTTCTTGACATTTCAAGTAATTTTAAAAGAGGAACCTAGTTTTGACCTAAAAAATCACTCTGTAGATTAACTTTGATGCCACCTATACACATAGGCACACACCATTCCCCACCCACAGAGGACTTCTGGGTCCCTCCTCGGCTGTTTTTACATCAATTTTATTCTTACTTGTATCTTTACAGAAAATGGCACAAAAGCACAGGTTTAGAATACCTAGAGGTTATTACAGTTCCATATTTCAAACAGCTCAATATCAAGATTTTCTTCTCACTCTATGTACATTATTTACACACCAGGGCTACAGTCTAACATTGTCGAACCAACAGAGGACAAAGACAAGATCTGGGGTGGGGAAGGGTGTTTCCATAAATGGGATGAAGAAATCAACTTTCGATAGAGAATTAAAATTGCAACTCAGTGTCTCAGGCCTTTCTCTTGCAAGTATCCCCCGCCATGATGGGTGGGGAAGTAGAAAAAAAATGTCATGGGGTGAGAGGGCTCATGCCTGGCCTGGGAGTATGGTCCAGTGGGCTCCACCGAGCTGTGTTCCCATTGCTCATGCAAAAGTGAAAGGGCAGAGTGGAAGGAGCAGCTGCAGAGAGGCCATAGGTACTGATAGGCCTACTCCTCAGCAGAAGGGAGCCCTAGTCCCTTATTTCAACATGGCTCCTGGGTCTGTCTTATTCTAGTTGACATACTTCCCAGCATACACCTGGCATGGTATGAGGGCTTGCAGCTTTATCTGGCTTAACACTGGCTCCTGTTTTGCTTTCCTTTGAACCTTTTCCCCTTCCTTTCTTGCGACCCATCCATGATGCATATTTATGGCTCAGTGCCATTCCAGGCTTAGGGATGGCCTGGGTCAAGTTGAGGCCAGATCTGTGGTTTCCTAGCTTCACTGCTTTTCTCCAAGCAGGCAATGCTTGGAGTAGTTTGCTAGAAGCCCTAGGCAAAGGATGCTTTGCACAGCAGGTCAAGGTCATGGCAGTATATGGGGAAAGTTGGAATGCTTCAGAAATACAGGTACAGGATCCAAGGACTCTGGTAGGGGACCTGGGCTCCCCAATAATGCAGTGAGCCACAATATTTATGAGACGGGCCTCCTCCCTGCAGGGCATAGGACCTGGACCCAGTAAAGGTCTTATACATGGGCACATGTGCTGTTGGCACCTGTGATGAGGAGGAACCCATGGGGCAGGTTGGGCATGGAGAAGGCGGGTTCCTGAGGGTGGCTCAAAGGCTCAGGCTGAGACTTCCCAAGTTCAGTCTGGAAGGTGGGTAGCATTGGAGGGAGAGATGGAGGACGTAGAGGTAGTGTGCGTGGGCCTGCGGGGCAGTATATTTTCTACGCAGCAGAAACCCAGGCCCAGGTCCCCCAGAAGGAACAGGCTGAGGGAAGATTTGATGAGGATTGGGGTGCTCAGGACATTGGAGCTGAAATGCAGATACTCAATCCATGTCACGGCTGTCTGGCAGGCTATGCGTTGGCAGCGATGGACTTTAGGCATGTGCCGAGCAGAATCCAAAGAGGTGCGGAGCTGGGAAGGGGGCCCTTCAGAGCCAGAGAACAGAGCAAGGGGTGGATTTGGACAGCAAGAGTTGCCAAGAGATTGAGAGAAAGGGGCTTGAGGGGATGGCCGGGGCAGCAAGTGGGCTTCTGAGGCAGGGATGTTGGGATGAGGAGGGTGCTGGAGAGTCAGGACTACATCAGGAGGTCTCAGCAGGGTCCAAAGCTGAGGCCAGAAATGACCTGTGCCTGGAGTCAATGGGGGTAATCGAGGGCCTGTGGGGCAGGTGAGGGTGGCAGAGAACCTCCCCGCACCACAGGGGCCAAGAGGAACACAGTCTTGGGTGCCTGAGCGCCCCTTGACCTAAGCCATGTCCTCAAGTTGTGATGGACTCAGCTTCTCGGCCGGCCTGTCTTCTTCCACGGCCTCTTCCTCCTCTGCCTCCTCTGCATTCCGGGCCAGGCTGTCTGGCCCAGACACAGTCCCCAGCACTTTGGTGCTGTGCTCCTGAGCTTTGGCTCGGAGCGCTGCGATGCTGTTCTCCCTTAGTTCCTCCTGGGAGATGGCTGCCTGGGCGTCGGGGCCCCGCTCTTCCTGCTCCATCTTGTCAAGCTTGGGCAGGGCCTGGCGTTCCACCTCTGGCTTCCTCCCCGACTCGGCTGCTGCCTCCAGTGACTTTTTGTGCATCCCTAAAAAGAATTGTTGGTATTCGGGTTTAGAAAAGCGCCTGGGAAAGCCATCTTGAACTGAAAACAGCAAAGATAGAGAGAGGCCAGAATTAAGGACAAGTAGAAAGCCTTGCTTCACACACGCCAGTCACGCAAGTCCCAGGGCTGGGCCAGGGTCAGGGGACAGGAAGTGGGGGGGGGGCGTGGAGGGTTGCAGGCCAACAGCGGGGAACCAGGCCTACAGAGGGCCTCTCAACAAACCCTGGGCACCTGGCCCCCCAGGGCCTGTTCTGTCCCTTCAGGGCACAGCTCGACTCCCCACCCCTCCATCCTGGGAATCCAGGTCTTAGAACCCCAAGATAATCTGATGCTCTTATCAGACTCAGGACTAGATGGCAAGTGGGGGAAGAGGGCAGGTGGAGAGATTTGGGAGAAAAGAATTACTTTGGGGCAATGCCAGAGAAGTGGCCAAAGGGACCTAAGGGTCCCCTCAACTCCCAGGGGGCTGTTTGATTTGTCATAAGCCCATCTCTGGTCAAGGGGAAGGGGGAATACAGACCCTGGGGTAACAGCCACACCCTCCTTACAGGATAAAAGAATCCAGTCAGGGACCAGTGCAGGATGAGAGTCCCTGGCACTCAGTAAATCGGTGCAAGGAAGAGACACCACACCCAGGCCCTGCCTGCCTAAGTCCCCAAGGTAGTCCCCACGGTAGTCCTCCAGGGAGCCCGCTCTCCTCACCTCAGGGGCAGGGCCCCAAGGAAGGTGCGGGCTCTTACCCAGTAGCCACGGGGCACAGGAGTCCATGATGCCATCCTTGGCAGACTTGAGGATGGACTCTGGCAGGGGGATGGAGTGTCGCACCATGGCCCCGTAGAGCCCATACTCTGCCATAACACTGCTCCGTCCCCAGCACTTCTCTCGCTTCCTCCACTTGGCTCTGCGGTTCTGGAACCAGACCTGCAAGTTCAGAGGAGTGGCTCAGGGGCCGTGCTTTAAGATGGTCCTTACCCCTGCCTGCTCAGTACAGATTTCCTCAGCAAGGTGTCCTTGCCCCAGCTCTTCCACCCCATGCTGTCCCTGAGGTTCCTCCAGGCTTGGAGGTGTCAGAAGGAGGATATCAAGACCTGTGAGAATATGACTTTAAAAAAAAAAAAACGCTTTGTTTTTAGTCAAACGAGTTCTAGGGAGATGGGCTACGGATGCCTACTGGACAGTCCCTTGCAGGTGAACAACACTCAGTGTGTTCTTTGGTTTGCTGCTGACAAACCAAGACATGATAGATATCTTGCTAATGTCATACCTCCAGTGTATAAACAGAATCTCTTTCTGATTTGCAGAAGGACAAATTCCCATAGTCCCTGGACAGGTACTGTGTCTTATTCTCCACGGAGGCCAAGAGGCCCAGAGGCCCAGAGGAGTCCAGGAAGGCTGCAGAAATGGCAGCAGATGATCTTGGGGACATTTCATCCAGGTGTCAAGGAAACCCAAGGCAGGGAGGGGACTCTTCCTGGGTCAGGATCCCTTCTCTGCCCTGTCCCAGCTGAGCCCTGCCATGCTGTTTTTTTGCCTTGCATATTCTAGAGCCCACAGTTCTGGGCCTAATGTGAATGGAATTTTGGGGAACTGGGTGCCATCCGTCTGTCAAGGAATAGATACAACATTCTCCAGGGTGTGAGGGGCAGAGGTGAGTAGGAACACAGGAGAGTGTGTAGGCCCACCCTGGGGAATGATTCCCTGGCCCCTAAGCTGATTGGTGCAGGGTCTAAATGAGACTGGGGTACCTTGTAGGCATGTACTGGTTCTTGGAGGAGATTCCAGAAGCCCTGTCCAGTTTGGAGAGGGAGGATTTCTTGGCTTCCCAAAGCCCCTTTCCTGAGACTTTCCCCTGCCTAGTGCCTCAAGGCAGGAAGAAGCGCTCAGGAAACTGGTGGGCCTGGAAGGACCCCAGGCGTTTCTCTTGTCTTTGGGGCCCTGACCCCTGGGGCGGCAAGATGCTGAAGCACCCCAGGGGAATGGGACGGGTGGGGGAAAGTGATGGGCTTCGGAAAATCCATTGGTTTTCTCGGCGATTTCCATTCCCTCGCCTGGGCGCCCCCACTCCCCGCCTTCCCTCGGGCCCCTCCCCCGCCCTAGGCGGCCAAGGTATCAGCTTTTGATGAAAAATTGCTCCAGCTCTATTCAGGAGGCGGCAAAAGAAGAGTCACCCCCAGGGGCAGCCCTGGGCTGATTGAAAAATAAGTTAATTTCAGTTTGAATCGATGGGCCTCAGGCACTGAAATATCACGGGAAATTAAAGCGGCTGCTCTCCCGGGAGCCGCGGCATTGACCCGCACTAATTAATGCTGGGGAGGCAGCGCTCGCCTCGCCGCGAGCCGCTCCCCCTCCCCGGGGGACCCCAAACACTTCTCATTTAACTAATTAGACGGGGAAAATTGGGTGTTAATTTGTTTAGGATTTTTTCCCCTCTTCCCCCCAGCAGCTCTCTCCCCGGCCCCCGCCCCGCGCGGGGGCGCGGAAATGAATGCGGGGCTCGCCGGCAGATGGCTGCCCCGGTCACTCTGCAATCTTCTCCGACTTGATTGCTTGATTAGGTCGTTAGCACATTAAAAAAAAAAATTGCTTGCCGTCTGGCGCTGGCGTGATGAGTGGGACGCGCGGCAGCGCCTGGGTAATTTATCTTTTTATACGGCAAAGAATTTGATTTCAATCTGCAGATATATGGGGCGCCTTTGACACCTGTTTAACATCGCGCTGCTGACAGCTTAACCCTTTGCTGTCGGGGCCGCGGGGAGTTCGGCTGGGGGCCCGCAGGGCTCCGGGTCCGCGCACTCCAGCGCTTCGCGCCGCCGCCGCCAGATGGCGCGGTGAGCGCCGGGCGCCTCGCCGGCAGTCCCGAGTCTGCGGTGGAGCTAGGCTGGCCACACCCGGCAGGGGGCGCCCAGGCAGCCCCCAAACACCCGCGGCCGCTCCGACGCTCTGTGTCTGCTCGCAAGACCGCTACGTCCGCACTCGCCTTTCAGTGGACCCAAGCGTGTGTAACCCTGTTTTGACAGCTTTTCCTTTGTAAATAACCGAGAGCATCTAAAAATGGGAGAGACACGGCCTCAGATGCCCTGGGCCTCTCCACCCCGACACCAACCAGAAAGCCATCGCCGGTCCCCCACGGAGCTGCAGCGCCTTCCAACGTGCATCTTTGCCATCACCGTTTGGCACTTGCAGTTCCTGCTCATAACTGGAGAGCTGGGAAGCACAGCTGCAAAGCCTCCTCCTGGTCTGGACCTTGTCAGCTTTGGGTGTGTGTCCCCTTGCCAAGGAAAAGGTTTATGCAGTTTGAAGGCCTCTAGATGGCTATTCTCCTAGCACCAGAGTGCAGAGCTGTGAGTCATGAAGGCAACTAAACTGGCCTTCATCTAGGCCTGGCTCCAGGCTGCGTTTAGATCTCTCCTCAAGGCTGCCTGCTGTTCTGCAGGGTGTCTGCCCTACCCAGGGCCGGCGATTTATGTGGGGCTTCTGACCTGTCCCATCTCCATATCCCATTAGCACTGGGTCGCCCTCCACAAGTACCCACTTGCTTCAAGCTGCCTTCTCCCGGAGAGGCAAAATCAAAACAGGCTAATATATATAACAATCCATATAAGCGACTCCGGTTTCATTCACCTCTTAGAGAAAACCTCCAAGAATGGACCCCATGCTGATAGAATTCCAATCACCTGATCTGACTGCAGAGGAGTGGGAAGTCTTTATAATCAAGTTGTTTGCTGCCTGATCAGATGACCTGTCCTGCTTGAGTAGAGTGCATTACAAAGCAACAAGGCCCGCAACTCTTTAACTGGAACCCCTGGGGTCAGAGGATGTTTGGGATTTTGGAATACATATGTGATGTATATACCACGTGGTACATATCACTCTGCACCAGCAGCACCTTATAATCACTCCCATCAGTTCTGATCCCTGCAGCAAAACATAAACATAAACTTAGTTGTATAAATTGCATAAGATCTAGTCTGATTTTTGCCGCCAAATGAGTTTTGATGCCAAATTTATGAAGAAACTTTTCGTGTCCAGCACTGTTTGGATTTGGGAATTCTGGAGAAGGCATTATGAAGTGTTAAAAAACAAAGGCCCCACCTACCCCAATCCACATTGCCCTGGCTTGCCCACCAGCTCTAGAGGCCTCAGTGCTGGAGATCAAGCAGGACTTTCAGATGGAAACAGCGTCTTTAGGAAACTGAAACAAGGGTCCAGGCTCAGGATTCTGCTCTGGACCATTTTTTCTGGGTCTCCTAATTTGCATAGATGAATAACTGGTCTATACATCAGACTCTGCCCACAGACAGTGTCCCAGGGGAGCAGGTGCCAGCTGGAGGCTCTAACCAGGAGTCATCCATACCCTCACTTATGGGCTCCGGGAACGCCTGGCTCTCCACGAAGACCAGATGCTACTCCAATTTACAGAGGAAACCTGGACAGCCAAAACGATTTTGTTTTAGGACAGTTGGCAGGGAAACTGGCGATGGTGCCTTGGAGGGAAGTGGACAAGGCATTAGAATTAACCCTCACTGCTCTTTGTATTTACTTTTCTCTCCTCTTCCTGGAAGCCACCTGCAGGTGTGCTGAACTTAAACATTTACAAAACTCATTGAGGCCAACCAGTTCTGAACTTCAATTCCCAGCTCTTAAAAATTGCTGTGTGATCTTAAGTATATTACTTCACTTCTCTCACTCTCAGGCTCTTCAAACAAAAAAGAAGAATACTGTTCGCCCTCCATATCCATGGGCCATGCATCCAGGATTCAACCAACTGTTGATTGAAAATATTTTTTTTTTTAAATTGCATCTATACTGGATATGTACAGACTCTTTTTCTTGTCATTATTGCCTAAACAACATAGTAGAACAACAGTTTACATCATATTGGACATTATAAGCCATGTAAGTATGTACAGGAGGATGTACATACATTATATACAAATACTATGCCCTTTTTTGTTTCTATTTATCTTGCGGTGCTGGGGATTGAACCCAGGGCCTCACACATGCTAGGCAAGTGCTTTATCATTGAGCTTCATGCTTACCCCTCAGCCTATTTTAACACAGCCAGCCTCTGGTTTCCCTGCCAGGCATCTGGAGTGCCAAACAGATGCCCCTGAAACCCTTCCTGCATTTCTAACACATTCCAGGCCCTCGGGGCTCAAATGCAGGCAGAGCCCGCCCCTGTGAACAGCCTTGATTCAGAAGCTTGGAGCCTAGGCTGGAGCTGGCTGACCCGTCTGTGGCTGCCTCTGTGAACATACTCACATGTTAATCCCCCTGAGTGTCCTGCTCCTCATCTGCCTGTGATATCACTGCCTGGTAAGTTTGTTGGGAAAATTAAAATACTGTGTGGAATACCTGGCAGGTAAAGAGCTAGAACATGCAAGCCTGATACAGGTGAATTCGGTGGGCAAATGTGTCATGCTGAGATTTGGCTTCTCAGCAAATGCAACCAGACCCTCCTGTCTCCCACCTGTGAGAAAGAATCCTTGTCGGCATTTAGGCCCCTTTTCTACTTGGGCTCTGGGTTCTGAGAGGCACAGAAGAGTCCACTGAGTCCTCTCTCACTTGCTTTTCTGATGGCCCACTTTCTAGAAGAGATGGCTCTTCTTTCCTGGGAGTCTGGTCCCAGCCAGGGCCAGAACCTTGCCTTATATGTTGGAGGCTCTTAGTCGGAGAAAGGGCTCAGAGTGACACCAGAGTCACCAGGTTTGGAGTCCCAGGCAAAAGTGAAGCTGGCAGACTCTTCCAGCTTGGGTTTCCAGGTACATTTCCTTTCAGAGGAGGTGCCTGTCACTGCTCAGGAAGCTCAGGTGAGGAGCCTCTAGATGTCAGCAGCTGCTGTGGCAGGTACCTCCATAACATACAGGCAGAGGGTGCCTGTACCTCCCAGGCTGACTGGCCCTGAGGAACCACTCCTTGCC